TCACGCCATTCTCGGCCTCAGCCTCCGGAGTAGCCTGGACTGACAGGCCCGCCACTCGCCGGGCTAATTTTTTTATTTTTAGTAGAGACAGGGTTCACGTGTAGCCAGGATGGTTCTCGATTCTCCTGACCTCGTGATCCGCCCGTCTCGGCTCCCAAGTGCTTGGATTACAGGCTTTGAGCCACCGCGCCCGGCCGCCTTGGCAGGAGTTTACTTGAAGTCAGGAGTTCAAGACCAGTGGTGATCCAACATCGTAAAACCCCCATCTCTACTAAACAATACAAAATCAGCTGTGTGCTGGGGGCGTAATCCATGCTACTTTGGGAGGCTGAGGCGACAAGAAATTACTTAAACCTGGGAGGCAGAGGTTGCAGTCAGCTGAGATTGCGTAAAAAAAAAAAAGAATCGTTTTAGCGTAACTTCATCTTAAACACTCAAACTACTCTATGAACTTAATTTATATTACTTTGCCAGCCCGGCATGGTGGCTCATACCTGTAATCCCAGCACTTTGAAAGGCCAAGGTGGGCAGATTACTTAAGTCCAGGAGTTCAAGATCAACCTGGGCAACATGGGGAAAAGTGCAAAACTTAGTCAGTTGTGGTGGCTTGTGCCTGTAGTCCCAGCTACTTGGGAGGCTGAGGTGGGAGGACTGCTTGAGCCTGGGAGGCAAAGGCTGCAGTGAACCGAGATCATGCCATTGCACTCCAGCCTGGGCAAAAGAGTGAGACCCTGTCTCAAATAAATGAATGAATAACTTTGCTTTAAAAATAGAGTGATCTATGCTTACATGGGCATAGAACACTCTGGCAGGATAATTAAGAAGCTGGCAATGGTAGCTGTTTCTAAGAAAGAGAACTGGTTGACTTGGAAATTTATCTTGTACTCTATATTTCTGAATTTTGTAGCATATACCTATATTAGCCATTAAAAAGTTAATATAGGCTGAAAGTGGTAGCTCATGCCTATAATCCCAGAAATTTGGGAGGCTGAGATGGGAGGATGACTTGTGCTCAGGATTTCAAGACCAGTTTGAGAAACGCAGTGAGACCCTATCTATACAAAGAATACTTTTTTTTAATTTTAAAAATACAAAAATTAGTTCTACAGCTAATTCACCACAGATTTACTCAGTGATTCCCACAGTCAACTGGCAAATGATAAAGTATCACTCCAATTCAGCAAACAGCAAAAGAAGGCATGAAAGATTTTATAGCAGATGTGGCCCCAAATTAAGAATACAGGGCTAGGTCCGGTGGCTCACGCCTGTAATCTCAGCACTTTGGGAGGGCAAGGTGGGCAAATCACGAAGTCAGGAGTTCAAGACCAGCCTGGCCAATATGGTGAAACCCCATCTCTACTAAAAATACAAAAATTAGCTGAGCGTGGTGGCACACGCCTGTAATCTCAACTACTCCGGAGACTAAGGCAGGAGAATCGCTTGAACACGGGAGGTAGAAGTTGCAGTGAGCCGAGATCGTGCCATTGCACTCAAGCCTGGTTGAAAGAGTGAGGCTCTGTCTAAAAAAAAAAATAATAATAATAATAATAAAAGAATACAAGCTGGGTGCAGTGGCTCATACCTGTAATCCCAGAACTTTGGGAGGCTGAGGTGGGCAGATTACTTCAGGTCATAAGCTCAAGACCAGCCTGGCCAACATGGTGAAACCCCATCTCTACTAAAAACACAAAAATTTGCCGGGTATGGTGGCATGCCCCTGTAGTCTCAGCTACTCAGGAGGCTGAGGCGGGAGAAACGCTTGAACCCTGGAGGTGGAGGATGCAGTGAGCTGAGATTGCACCACCACATTCCAGGCTAGGCAAGAGAGTGAGACTCCATCTCGAAAAACACCCAACCCCCTCACCCCAAAAAAAGAATACATGTGTTTGGCCAAGCGCGGTGGCTCACGCCTGTAATCCCTGCACATTGGGAGGCCGAGGCAGGTGGATCACCTGAGGTCAGGATTTCCAGACCAGCCTGGCCAACATGACGAAACTCTGTCTCTACTAAAAATATAAAAACTTAGCCAGATGTGGTGGTGGGTGCTTGTAATCCCAGCTACTTGGGAGGCTGAGGCAGGAGAATTGCTTGAACCTAGGAGGTGGAGGTTGCAGTGAGCCAAGATCACGCCACTGCACTCCAATCAGGGTGAGAAGAGCAAAACTCCGTCTCAAAAAAAAAAAAAAAAAAAAACATATGGTTAACAGAAATAAAGCATTATTATATAACCAAAAGAGTATAAGAAAACCTGTTTTCTAGGCAGGACAGCTCTATCACCAAAAAGCAAATAACCTTGAATGAGTACTAGAGATACTTGTGCCTGTTTCCTCCTATGCAAATAAAACATGGAATCAGAATCATCTAAATTATGTCCTAAAGATCTAAGTACTAGTCTCAATATTTCAAGTCATACCAGCTAACCTGCCCAAGGTCCACAGTTCCCCAGGATTGAGTACACGTCAGGTTCCAGGGTCTTTTCTTATATCTGGCTTTTGTATATGTCAGGAAAAAACATTCACTATCTCAATCGGATGTTGTAAATAATTTGAACAAAAGCTCTGTTAAGTCTTATACAGCTAAAGTGTCAGCTTACAGAGGTTAAGCACCTCCTAGCATGAAGGCTGACATTTTAATGAAATGAAGATGATCAAGTGATACTTAAAGCATCTGAATCATAGCTTCATGATTTGGTCCTTAGATGGCATCAAGCCCCCATTCTCATTTACAGATAAGAAAACTGTGGCCAATAGAGTTTGTCTATAGTTTACAGAGCTACATAGTCAAACTATCATGAGAAACCATTTTCTAATTCCAAGATCAGTACTTTTCCACCCAAACATGTTAGCTCATTTCCACATGAGAAAATCAAACCAGCAACCCAGACTGTATGCCTCAGCCTACACTTCAGACACATACATTACATTATAAGTAAAACAGAAAATAAGCTATTATAAATAAGATCTTAAAACATCATCAAAAGCTCACTTACAGCACTCAACGGGTATAGAGGCTATCTGCAGAGAAAGGACTTTTCCATTGGGCTGTGGGATGTGTACACGAAACACAAGTCGTACTCTAGTATTCTTTCTGCCAATATCAGTTTCTCCTTTTCGAAGTTCTATATCTGAATTGCGGAGTTTCAAAATACCTGCACAATCAATACTAAAGAGAAAAATATAAAAATTTAATTTGTTTATTGATAATTGTGGTTATAAACAACTCAACTACACAGAAATTGTTAATTTGTCAGAAAAAAACTACCCAAAATTAGGTCAAAACAGAAAGATATGTATGATTGCTATTCTCTGCTAAACTGAAGTTTAGGCATTAAAAATATTTTTGTATGATAAAAGTGCAAAACTAAGTATAGTAGATTGTCTGCAAAGGTTAGTAATTTCTCTTCATTCCTGTACTTGCATGCCTATCCTCCTGCCATTAAGACGTACAGTATCTATGCCTGCTCTCCTTGAGAATTGGCCTATGACTTGCTTTGACAAATGGAGTGTGGCCAAGTGACAGTATGCAAGTTATGAGCCTAGCACTGAAGAACGCTGGTAACTTCCACTTTTGCTATCTTGGAGTCCTGAGTAAGAAGTCCAACTAGCATGGTGCAGAGAAAGGCCCAGACAATCCCTAACCACTCCAGCCACCCTAGCCATTTTGGATGTTCAACCCCAGCTGAGCTCCCACTGAATCCAGGTACTTAAGTGACCCCAGCTGACACCATGTGAATGGACCAGCTGAGCTCAGTCAACCCAACGAATCATGCAAAATAACAGAGTGATTACTATAAGCCATTAAATTTTCGGAGTGTTAGAACTAAACAGTTGAAATAAAGTAAAGACTCTTTAATTCTATACATGTAACTAGGTGAGAACAACAAATAATTCATTAACAGCATATTTAGACTTTTATAGTGATGTATTTATTAATAAAAACAATCCATCAGGCTAAAATTCTTGAATTTTTAAGGAATGCACATATAAGATGAAGGTTCTGCATTTAAGGTATAACATTTCATCATCTGCTAACTTTATTATTAAGTATGACTGTTTAACACACTATTGTGGCAGGAAACAACAGAAGCTACAAATACCTTTGTTACTCACATATTGGAAGAATAAAGCAAACGGAAACTAATTATGATCAAATATACTAGTTAACCTTGCTAACAAGGCATTCCTTGTTATCTGTCCTCTTATTGGATCTATCAACAGTTCCAACCCCAATGCACAGAGGTTGCAGAAGTCACTTTGAAGGACAATATATTACAGAACTAGGATACCAAGACAAGAACCGGCCAGGTGCACTGGCTCATTCCTGTAATCCCAGAACTTTGGGAGGCTGAGGTGGGCAGATTTTCAGGTCATAAGTTCAAGACCAGCCCTGACCAACATGGGCGAAACCCTGTCTCTACTAAAATACAAAAATTAGCCAGGCATGGTGGGGCGTGTGCCTGTAGTCCCAGCTACTTGGGAGGCTGAGGCAGGAAAATTGCTTGAGCCCGAGGCAAGAGTGCAGTGAGCGAGATCATGCCATTGCTCTCCAGCCTGGGCGCAGAGCAGAGCTCCATCTCCAGCAAGAAAAAGAAAAAAAAAAAAGACAACCAGTAAAGCAGAAGAAGAATCCCAAAAGGAATTAAACCACTCCAAATTTTTCATCTTCAGAAAGACACAGAAGACATTTTTTAAATGCAACAATTTTGAAAACTAAAAAAGCATTTGCCATTTATAGATAACAAATTACATAACTGATATTGAACAATTGCACTGTAGCTCAAAGCAGTATCGATCAAGTTACATCAAATTAGTGATTATTCATGCTAACATGTCAACATGGGTCTTCAAGGGAAATAGCAGAGATCATCTGTGTTATTAAGTATTGAGCAAAGGCATTCTAGCAGTAAGCTAAGTTTCTAATAGATGTGAAATAACAGTACTAGAAAGTACATCTGAAAACTCTTAAATACAAAAAACAAAAAAGCAAGCAAAACAAAACAAGAAAAAAACTCTTACGTAGCAATGAAAATAAGTATTAAATTATCTTTAAAACTACATTTATTTATTTGTTTAAAGTATGTATTTATGTTTTGAGACGGAGTCTTGCTCTGTTGCCAGGCTGGAGTACAGTGGTGCCATCTCGGCTCACTGCAACCTCCGCCTCCCAGGTTCAAGGGATTCTCCTGCCTCAGCCTCCCAAGTAGCTGGGATTACAGCCACGCACCACCATGCCCAGCTAATTTTTTTGTATTTTCAGTAGAGACGGGTTTCACCATGTTGTCCAGGATGGTCTTGATCTTCTGACCTTGTGATCCGCCCACCTCAGCCTCCCAAAGTGCTGGGATTATAGGCGTGAGCCATCAAGCCATTTTAAATCAAGGTGTAGCACTGCTACATTGATATTAATCCAATGTTAAAAAACAGAGGAGCTGCAAATAGCTAAGGCAATAAATACTGGCATCCTATATTTAAAGCATCTTGTACAGTAGGCTTATGGTTTAGTGTAATGGTCTTAAAAAAGAGATTAGGCTTGAAATAACCAAGCCTGTGGCTTAGTAGGCAAAACCAAGGGAGTATCTACCAATTTTTCCACACCTTATTGCCTTACGAGAACAGTAAAGACACTTAATACATACTTAAGGCTCACTTATGCATAAATTATTTTGAACCATGGTCTTCTCTGTCACCTGGGAATTTTAAACCCACCATTATCTGAAACTATTATTATATTTAACCACTGTACTGAATAATATAGTTACATTCAACAAGCTACTAGGATACTAGTCTATCCTAACAATTAGCTACTGAGTAAATAGGCTCATTCATCATTAGCTACTCTGTTACCTACAGTACCTAAAAAAGGTTTCTTAGGTTTAGTAACATCCTAGTTGCCCCTTATTTAATCCTCTCTCCAATATACATAATGCTTGGGTCCTACAGAACTCCTGTTCCACAGTCTACCAGTACAGAGCAGACAGAATGGTCAAGAAGTTTCAGGTATGTGTGTGGTAGGGTTGCAGGGGGAGGACTAGCTGTATGTTACTAGTCAAGTGGTATTTCTGCAGCCTGGTCCTTTCTGGTCTAATACACACAGACAGTATATGCCAGATCTGGCTGAGGAAGGGACATAAATTATGACTATTACCCTTGTTCCACACGCTAGTAAATGGAAGATGATGGAGGAGACAGGTAAATTTAGATCCTACTGCTCCAATTCTTTCACATTATTTGGGATATGAGCCTTTCCCAATTTCTTGATAATTTTTCATAGAAATTAATGTACTCTTTTCTATTTATTGGTTTATATACTATTTTCAGAAAGGATATGAGGCATTTTACAATATAGATACAAATAAAGCCAAGAAAAAATAAATAGAAAAAATTTTAAAACACAATAGGAAGTAAATCCAAGTCTAGAGTTGAAGAAATTACTATAATCACTGTAAATGAGCTTGACTACGAAGTTCCTGGAAGCCAAGGCTAAAAGTAAATGTGATAAAGTTGTTATAGGCCGCTTGTTGTATGGTAAAGCAGAATCTACCACGCCATCAGGAAACACTAACATTTTTCCTTTAAGTTGAAAGGACTGTGTGTGTGTGTGTGCATGCACACATGCATGCAATAGTGACCAACCTAAGAGAAACTGTCTTTAATAGTGGTTTTTCAGATTATGAAGTATGTTTATGGCTATTTCTCATACTGTCCCTCAAGTCAAGAAACAGAATAAACTTGTAATTTTTCTATTTAACTTGATTCGAATATCGTGCTTTGAATATCCAGAGGAATGAATGCAAACATGGCCTGCAAACTATCGTCTAGGGATCAATTTCTTGAGTTTTTGGAAAATGATAGTTCAAAGGTGATTTTTAAATGTCCCTCTACAACTGACTAATCACATATCACATGCTTCTGATGCTATATAAAAAAGTAAGATGCCAGAACAAAAGGGAAGAAGGCTACCTGCATTCTCATTCAGAGGTTGGGCACCTTACCTTATTTGAAAATGTGTCCAATAGGATGCCTGGTGTCAATATTTTTCTCGAGAAAAAGTTTTGCTCGAGTATCTGAATAAATACAGGCTGAGATTCCAAAGTTCTTTCTACATTATAGAACACAAATGTTTAAGGCCGGTGCAGTGGCTCACATCTGCATTCCCAGCACTTTGGGAGACTAAAGCAGGTGGACTGTTTGAGGCCAGGAGTTCGAGACCAGCCTGGTCAACATGGCAAAACCCTGTCTCTACTAAAAATACAAAAATTAGCCAGGAGTGGTGGCGCACAGTGTGTAATCTCAGCTACTTGGGTGGCTGAAGCACAAGAATCACCTGAGTCTGGGAGGCAGAGGTTGTAGTGAGCCGAGATGGTGCCACTGTACTCCAGCCTGCGCAACAGACTGAGACTGTCTTAAAAAAAAAAAAAAAACAAAAACAGCCGGCGCCGGCTGGCTCACAGCATAGTAATCCAGCACTTTGGGGCCGGCACGGCGTGGATCACGAGGTCAAGAGATGAGACCTATCCTGGGCAAACACAGTGAAACCCCGTCTCTACTAAAAACTACAAAAAAAAAACTAGCCGGGCGAGGTCGGCGGGCCGCCTGTAGTGCCCAGCTACTCGGACGCTGGAGGCAGGAGAATGTGCGTAAACCGCGGAGGCGGAGCTTGCAGTGAGTTGCTGAGATCCGGCCACTGCACCACCTGGCGACAGATGCGGACTCCGTCTCAAAAAAAAACAAAAATTAGAGTAGAGATTATCGCTTAGCGGTCCCTTGCCTTTGCCTGAAAACACCTCCGTCAGGCCCTCTTTGCAATGATTTGCTGGGTTGGGTTCTTGAGTACCGTTCTTGCAGTAGCCTGGGATGGATGTTATTCCCACCTTAAGAAAGGTCTGTGGGCCAGGTGCGGTGGCTCACGCCAGTAATCTCAGCACTTTGGGAGGCCGAGATGGGTGGATCACGAGGTCACGAGATCGAGACCATCCTGGCTAACACGGTGAAACCCCATCTCTACTAAAAATACAAAAAAATTAGCCAGGCGTGGTGGTGGGCGCCTGTAGTCTCAGCTGCTCGGGAGGCTGGGGCAGGAGAATGGCATCAACCCAGGAGGCAGAGCTTGCAGTGAGCCAAGATCATGCCACTGCACTCCAGCATGGGCAACAGAGCGAGACTCCGTCTCAAAAAAAAAAAAAAAAAGTCTGTAGTGTAGTTTGAAAACAATTCCTGTAATAAAAATCTAAGTTTCCCATGCCTGGTTGTGCCTACTACCCATTGATAGGTGCCTACTCAATATCCTTCCTTTACTTCTTCCTTAGTAACAGGCTCCTACATTGTTTTGTTTGTTTTTTGTTTTTAAAGACAGGATCTCACTCTTGCCTAGGCTGCAGTGTAGTGGCACTATCTCGGCTAATGGCAACCTCTGCCTCCCGGGCAAGCGATTCTCCCACCTCAGACTCCCAAGCAGCTAGGACTACAGACAGGCACCACTGCACCCGGTTAATTTTTGTAATTTTAGTAGAGACAGGGTTTCGCCATGTTGCTCAGGCTAGTCTCAAACTCCTGAGCTCAGGTGATTCGCCTGCCTCAGCCTCCTGAAGTACTGGGATTATAGGCATGAGCCATGGTGCTTGGCCTCCCTAAATTACTTGAGGTGACAATGTGTTCTGGTAAACATAACCATGTGTTCCTTACATATAAGCATGATCAATGAGATGTAGAGTTGTTAAGTAGGTTTTAGGGAAAGGCTCTTAAAAGAGGATTCAACTCCAATGGAAGTTCCCTTTTACCTTTCCTCCACATCTTTCTCTTTATTATCCCTTCTGGTAATAAGGATGTCATGGCTAGAGCTCCAGCAGCCATTTTAGATCGTAAGACAATCTTTAGGATGGAAACCACATGCTAAAGATGTCAGAGAAGAAAAAACTTGCTTGGGGCCCTAATGACTTACGCAGCTACTGTGCTAGCCCTAAAATGTCTACCTGTATATTTCTTTTATGTGATAAAACACTAAACCTCTAACTGTTCAAGCCACTGCATATCAGGTTTCTATTAGAAGCAACTATATATAATCCTAACTGATCCTTCGGTACAAAACTCTATTGCATTCTCTTTCAGAAGTTGGCCACCTTATCTTATTTGGAAATGGGTCAAGTGGGATGCCTGGAGGTAAAGTCAAAAGTTTTCCTTAAAGAAATAAAAAAATCGTAATTGTATCATAATTGTTTATTTATTGTCTACCCTATTAGATAGACTGTGAGCCATTTGATGAAAATCCAGATACAGTATTTATATCTCTCTTACCTAGGATAATGGCTTGCCTGGTAGTATATAGTATAGAAACACTTACTGAATTGAATTTTCCCTCTGGAAATATGCTACCACTCTCAGAAAATGTACTAAATGTACATTATTTACATAATACCATTAGAACAATATTTTATATTTATATTCAAAAATATATTTACTTTTTTTCTGAAAGTATAGAGAAAAAAAGAACTGCACATTTTAGGTATATTTCAAAATACCTGGCTGACATATTGTTTTCAGGAAGAAGTGGAATTTCCAGAACTTTTGTACTGGCAATTATTATCTCTTGGCTTGCAGTAGCGACTGTCTTCCCAGTGATTCGATGCACCTGGTAAAATGCATGAGGTCGTAAATATCGATCATCTGCTGTCCCAATAAACATTTGTAGATTTATCGGCTTTTCGTTATAGCCCAGGAGCTAATCAGGAAGAAGAAACATAGAAAAGCACAATTCATTATCCATTTGCATTTTACAATAAGCCAACAATAGTAAGTCTATTATATCTCTATCATATACTATTGTATTATTTCAAAAAAATACAACCAAAAGTAACCAGTGAGCAGCCCTCCAAATTTCCAAATTTGTTTAAGAAATAAAACATTGTATATGTTACATAAAGGGATGTGGGTTTTTTTTTTTTTTTTTTAAGATAAATATCTAGATAGACCAAAATTGTACAAAGCTTTCTGACTCTGCTGCAGAAAACACAAAAGAAATACTGATTCTGCACTCTGGGCAACATTAACCATTCAGACTGGACCTAAAGATTTGGGTATATGGGAAGGTCCTCTAACAGACTGTTAAATCAGAGGCACTTCGTTTTAGTAGAAAGAGTCTGAAAACCCCTATTGTATATATTATAAACTTACAATTTCAACTGACTTAACAGGCCTGGGCTAACTGACTTTCCTTGGTATCCTTCACTACTGCTAAGGTTAACTATGTTAGACTGACATGGGAGAGCTGCTGGAGGCAAAAACAGTCATCACAAGAAAACAGGCAATTAAAAGAAATAGAACTTGAAGATGCATACAAATAGCACTTAGGGAGACATGGATGGCTGAGTAGCACCGACTTGACCCATCTTCCTGCAGATAACAACTATAAACTGGAAAAAACATAAAGAATGACCTGATGGAGAGCAACCAAAAACAAGCAGATACTGGAGGCGAGTTGAAATATACACCTTATAACATATGTGTTATTACAAAGGGCATGTTTCCTGTTTTTATGGCTTTTAACCTGAGAAAAAGCCATAGTCCATGCCTTACAGACCAGCTAAAACTCCCATAAAAAACCTACAGCCCGTGGCCGGGCACGGTGGCTCACACCTGTAATCTCAGCACTTTGGGAGGCCGAGGCGGGTGGATCACGAGGTCAGGAGATCAAGACCATCCTAACACAGTGAAACCCTGTCTCTACTAAAAACACAAAAAATTAGCCAGGCATGGTGGCATGCACCTGCAGTCCCAGCTACTCGGGAGGCTGAGGCAGGAGAATTGCGAGCCCGGAAGGTGGAGGTTGCAGTGAGCCGAGATTGAACCACTGCACTATAGCCTGGGTGACAGAGCAAGACTCCGTCTCAAAAAAAAAAAGACACACACACACACACACAAAACAAAACAAAACAAAACAAAACAGAAAACACTAAACCTACAGCCCAAAGCCTCTGGAAAGTGATAAGGAAACCCCAGAAAGGAGTCAGAGGCAGGAAGCTCCAAGTTACACATAGAAACTCTGCCCAAACCTTTCTTTGGCTGACTTCTGAAACATGATCAAACAGGACAGACCCCAAGCAGCCTAGCTAAGGCTAAAACTGAAATGAGATTTTGAGCTGCCACCAACCTCAGGGAGACAAGTTTTCCAGGCTGACTCCAACCAAGTTAAATGCCTACTTAAGCAAACAATTTCAACAATCTTCAGGGTAGAGACAGACAGACAGAGAGGGAGAGAAGGAGAGAGACAGAGGGAGAGAGAGGGGGGCGGAGACAGGGGGAGAGAAAGGGGGGAGAGAGAAAGAGAGACAGAGGCAGATAGAGACAGAGAGAGAGAGAGAGAGAGAGAGAGACAGAGAGAATGTGTCTGTGCCTTTGTTTTCTATGTCTTTTTTTTTTCTTTTTTATTGCCTAATTGCTCTGGCTAGGACTTATAGCATAAAGCTGAATCGCAGTAGTGAAAGCAAGCATCCTTGTCTTGTCCCTGATGTTAGAGGGAAACCTTTCAGTCTTTAACCATTAAGTATGATGTTAGCTGTGGGTTTTTCAAGATTCCCCTCTATTCCCAGTTTGCTGTTTTGTTTTACCTTTTTTTTTTTTTTTTTTTTTTTTTTTTTTGAGACGGAGTCTCGCTGTGTCACCCAGGCTGGAGTACAGTGGTGCGATCTTGGCTCACTGCAACCTCCACCTCCTGGGTTCAAGCAATTTTCCTGCCTCAGCCTCCTGAGTAGCTGGGATTACAGGAGCCTGCCACCATGCCCAGCTAATTTTTGTATTTTTAGTAGAGACGGAGTTTCACTATGTTGGCCAGGCCAATCTTGAACTCCTGACCTCAGATGATCCGCCCGCCTTGGCCTCCCAAAGCGCTTGGGATTACAGGCACTCATGAGCCACTGCATCTGGCTGTTTTGCTTTTTTTTAAATCATGAAAGGCTGCTGAATTTTGTCAAAGGTTTTTTTCTCTATCAACTGAGATGACCACATGGTTTTTCCCTTCATTCTACTATGTGGTATATTACATAGATTAATTTTCATATGTTGAACCACTCTTGCTTTCCTGGGACAGATCCCACTTGATCATGGTGTATAATCTTTTGTAGTGTGCTGCTGGATTTGGTTGCTGAGCCTTTTGTTGAAGACTGTTGCATGTATATTCATGAAGGATATTGGTTTGCAGTTTTCTTCTCTTGTATCTTTGTCCCCATCATTATCCATTTGTTTGCTGTTGTTTTTGAGACGAAGTCTCGCTCTTGTCTCACAGGCTGGAGTGCAGTGACACGATCTTGGCTCACTGCAACCTCCACCTCCCGGGTTCAAGCAATTATCCTGCCTCAGCCTCCCAAGAAGCTGGGATTACAGGTGCCTGCCACCACACCCAGCTAATTCTTATATTTTTAGTAGAGACGCAGTTTCACCATGTTGGCCAGGCTGGTCTCAAACTCCTGACCTCAGGCGATCCACCTGCCTCAGCCTCCCCACCACGCCCAGCCAATCCATTGGACTAAAAAAAAAAAAAAAACTGTCCCTGCCCTACTGAAATTCTTCCATCTCTTCATGTATACAGAGCCCACCTTTTCCTCAAGGTAATTTAGGAGTTCTATTATAGTAATTCCAAAGTCTCTTTCCAATATCTAATCTAAGCTTTCTCTCAGTCTGCTACCATTGAGTGTTTTCTCTCTTTAAATTGGGCCACATTTTCGTGTGTGTGTGTGTGTGTGTGTGTGTGTGTGTGTGTGGTTGTTTATTGTTTTAATGGACCTTTAGTATAAAAAAGTCTAGAGACTCAAGCAGAAAATATTTACCTCCAGAAAGGGGCATGCTATTTCTTTTGTAAGGTCACAGTTCTTAAACTGTGTCTGGACTTTAACTGAAGGAATAGTCTGATTCAGTATAGCACTGGCTTCAAAGGTCTGGCGGGTGGAATGTCTCTCTCTTTTGCCTGGCATGGAATCTGAGAGCTGGCAAGATTCCAGAGATCTACCTATGCTTCACAACCAGAGATCTACCTATGCTTCACAACCAAGTCTCCGATCCTTGAAACTGTTGGAAGACCTTCCTCTGATTTACCACCTGGCTGCTGATTTTTTAATCTATGAGGATTTCTCTATGCTCTTCAGTCTTGCTCTTTGTTTCTGAGCCTCAGGGTATCTCTTCAGCTTTGTTACTAGATCTTGGGTCTTTTGAGATTGGCTTGGAGAGATTTCTTTCAGCTCTCCTGATAATACTCCAGTCTTTGTAAATGAGAGCCTAAGTGCCTAAGGGTTTCTGCCTTCAGCAGGTAAAACTATGAAGAGAGGGGGTCTCAGTTCTCCTGCCATGCCTCCTCCTCCTTGGGATGGTAGCCTTCTTGTATTTGGTGGAGTCTTACAGGTGAGTTTTATTCCCCTCCACTTGCCCAGTCTTGGCTTTACAGTGGAATTTGTAGCCAGGCAACTTCATAATTTATTGGTTATCCTCCATGTACCCAGAAGAAGACATTAAGACTTTTGCCTATTATTGGGTAATATAATTTTACCCAGGATATTTTTCAGTGCTGTACATTTATAAAGAAGCAATTAAAGCTGGACTATTGCAATAGCCTTATAACTGCTCTGTCTTCCCTCTTGTTGCCCTATAGCCCATTCTCTATCCAAGAGTCAGAATAAACTTGTTAACATGAATTGGATAACTTTGACTCCCCTGCTCAGAACTCTGTAATGGCTTCCCTTCACATTTAGAACTAATTCAAATTCCCTATGATGGTTTACACAGCATAAGGTGATTAGGGCCCTGGCTAAATTGTTGGCCTTACCTTTGCCTACTCCCTCCCTTCCACAGTCTGCTCTAGCCTTACTGGCCTTATTGCATGAACCACTCAAGCTCATTCCTACTGTCAGGGCTTTCACACTAAATATTTTATCCCTCTGAAATATCATTCCCTCTGATCTTCATGCTACTTGACTTGATTCAAATACATAAAGGTCAGTTCCTTCAGAGGAGACTACAATATTTAAAATATCGTATCTGTCTCCTTATCTTGTGCTTGCCTACATCCTATATTAAGAATAAATTCCTGCCCTTTCAGGAGCTTCAGGTAAGCATATGATAAAAATCAATTAAGGCTCTATGAAAGAGAAAGGATGAAATCATGGAAACAAGTTGAGAGAGCTGAAGCACTAAAATCATGTGTGCTGAAAGTTTAAACTAGGGTGGAGGCAGGATCATAAATAGAAAATAGAAATGGAAAGGGATGAATGCAATAAACCTTTCCTAGAAGGCCCTAAAGAGATTTTCGTAACTATACATAGAATAAAAGAGGGATCAAATAAGTCAGAAGTTCTGAGCTTCAGTACCCAGGAGAATGATGGTATCACTAGCAAACAAAGTATAGGCCTGGCCATCATGGCTCACACCAGTAATCTCAACACTTTGGGAGGCTGAGGCAGGAGGAACTGCTTGAGGCCAGGAGTTCAAGACCAGCAACACAATGAGACCCCCATCTCCACACACACACACACACACACACACACACACACACACACTAGCTGAGCATGGTGGTGTGCTCCTGTAGTCCTAGCTACTTTGGAAAGCTAAGGTGGGAGGGTTGCCTGATCCCAGGAGTTCAAGGTTACAGTGAGCTATGATTATGCCACTAAACTCCAGGTTGGGTGACAGAGTGTGAGACGTTTTCTCTTAAAAAAATACTAATGTGAAGAAGTCACT